AGAAAACTAACAAATTCTACTTAATATTGGTAAATGTGAAAAAATACGCGTCACCATACGCCCTCAAACTACTACTATTCATCCGTTGTTTTTAGGGTACTGCATAATTGCCTTTAGCCGATATTCATGAACAGTTAGGAGTCATGTTATGCAATGATTTATCACACAAAGTACATATAATCTATTTAGAGAAAAAATACATTAAAATTGTGTTCAAGTATTTAACCTTTTGTAACTGTTTTTAATTAGTTTGTCCGATACAACAAAATTTTTAAAATATTTCACTTACATTAATGATAATGAAGGTCATAACTCTATTTCTGTATTCTAGTTGTGCATATTGACTTGAAATAGATCTATTCTTGACTTCAGAACTATAAGACCTGATAATAACACATGTGTTATAATCTCATGAGTATTTTCTCTTTTTCGCAAAAAAATGGAAAAAGAACGAAATACGTCGATAAGTATAGTTTGCGTACACATTTATAAAGTAAATGTGTTGTGAAAACGAGCATTTTTTATTATTAATCTCTATTTATTCGTGGTGTTAGTAATGGCCTAATCGTTTATACGAGGAAGAATCAAATTGTGTCAAACCAACTTTTAAGTAGTATCTGTTATAATCGTTTTATCGAAAAATTCTCTGTAAAATTGCTCATCAACCACGTTTATCATCCATTTTAACTTGCCTAGAGATGCGAGTAAACTAAAACATTCATAATCGATGAACATTTTTACGAATAATACAAATCTCATCTTAATGATGGTCCAACTGTCATACATGATAAGCGATGGAAAGGTATTAATACGTTAAATCAGTTTCTAAGAATTTTGTCATATATTTAAATGAAAAAATTATCACAGTCAGTTGATCGTCTTTTCAATATACAGTAGACATACAAACATATTGACCAGCATTCATTTGAGCATGTGCAAGATATGTACACAGTTATTTTAAAATATCGATTACCGAGGAGACAAAGCGATTTGACCGTGTCTGATGTTCTCTTCAACTAAATTCTATCTTCCCCACATACAGCCATTCCTCCTTCCCTCCTTTACACAGTACATCAGTATGGTACCTGCTTTTCACTATCGTTTTTGTTCTCTCACATTCATCCCTATTTACCTTTTACAAAGCCTTTAATGGGTAAATACCCGATTGGCGATGCTTTCTACTTAAATAAAATTGGTTAAATCAAAAGCTTTTCTCTGTTTGACGTACGTCGTAGTTTTCTATGTAAACCGGAAGATTCTACGATGATAATCTTTGTTTTACAAGCATCAGTGACTCATGAAGCGTAGAGGACAGAGAAAAATCCTTAAAAGAACGTATTTGTCATAAGTATTAAATAATGCACGAATTGAACGTGTGGCCGTCTACCGTGGCAGTTTATGTATTTTAGTTAAAAACTGAAGCTTCATTTTTATATATTTAGCAGAAGAAAAAAGACGAATCACAAAGATAGAAGAGATCAATAGTTAATAAAATATAAGATGTGGAAAGGAGGGGTACAACAAAAACAATGTAACAGTAAAAATAACCAAGCGATAAGATTGCACAAAAACCAACAACGTTCACTTCTTAGTTATAAACAAAACATACGTTCTTGATATCGTCCTACAGAAAAATAAGCAATAAAAATACAATAAAAACACAGTCACAGTAATGAATCACAGTAGAAAAAAAGTGTAAAATACAAAGCTGATAAATAATCAAGAAGAATATTTAAGCGAGAGAGAGATATGAGTAAGCATATAATACTCAGTTTATCTATTTTCAAAAAATAGAATTTTGATTCTGCTGTTTGTTCAAATATGATAAATTTTTTCTTTTAACCAACGGTACTATGCCCATTATAGAAAAAATTTAATCCTGAGAGAGAAACAGTGATGAATTTTAGCGTCATATGACTTTGAAGTAAAAAACAAAAACAAAAAAATAGTAGTAGTTTGAGGGCGTATGGTGACGCGTATTTTTTCACATTTACCAATATTAAGTAGAATTTGTTAGTTTTCTGACCGTGAGAGTACTCTTGAAAGATTTCTGTTTCATATCAGAAACGACAATGAATGTGTGCAGTAAACAACGGTGTCGTCTGCAAAAAATCCAGTAACACAGGTAAGATCAACACATAAGTCATCGATACACATGACAAAAAACGAAAAGATTAAACCGTAGGAAACTCTTCTATTTATTCATTTCGATTTAGAAGTACAAGTCTCCCACCAGAGATGGGCGAGTACGAATATACTCGAGTACAAAATTTCCAGTACTCGTACTCGGGACTTTTTTTTATGAGTACTTAAAAATGTACTCGAGTATTTTCGAGTACTTGAAATTTTTTAACATACAATAATCTATAATTAAAATAACTTTTTTCGTGAGTATTTTCTTCTTTTAAAAATTTTCGTACTCGAGTATTTTCTAAAAAGTGCTCGAGAAAATACTCGTACTCATACTCGAGAATCTGCGCACTCGCCCATCTCTGTCTCCCACTACTGTTATCTGCGACTTGTTCATAAAAAAAACTCTCGAATCATTTTAACCATTTTTCGAATCATTTCTTAATTTTTTTCCACATACTCTATTCTTTTCTAACTTATAGAAAATAATTTAATAAACATATATAAAATAAAAATTTTCTAATTTACACTGCGATGCCAGACCTTGTGGAAAGCATTCTCAAAATCAAGAAAAATCGTCAATCCACCTGTTGTTTTTAACTTGTAATCGCATGCGGAAGAAAAATTCCTGAGGAAGACCCCCGTCCTAAATTTTTTTCTTCAAAAATGCTTTGAATACACATTATTGGGTGTAATTTTATGTGCTAATTCCAAATATGTTATTATTTTTCAATACAAGTGTTCGTGAGTGGGGAAAAATAGATTTTACATTAAAAACCAAGGTTTTTCGACAACTCTATAGCTCGACTTGGGTAGATATGCACATCTTTGTGCATTCATCCTAGATAGAGCACATGTCCGGGAATATGTTGGTATAACTTACCAAACTAGACTATAAGTCATTTTCGACCTTGACGAGTTTTAGTGATGTCATTGCACTGCAAACAGTGAGTGAGAAAATAATTTCGCTTAAGAAAAACCGTTACTTAGTCGCTAGATTATGTCTTAATTAAAAATTTTTTTACAGTTCGTTAACTAAGAGTTTCTGAGTTTAAGATATGTCACACTTATGATGTTAAATTGCCTTGCTTGTCCTAGGAGGTCGCTATTTTCTAGGTTATTTTTAGTTTCTTAATTTTTCCCAAAGTATCAGCACTTGGAACAAAGATTAGATAGTCCGTAGACCAGAGTATATTTGACAATATTTGAATAATTTTGGAAAAGTGCACTTTCGATTTTTCGCTAAATGTCCACCTGGATACGCACTGTATGACGTTACTATGATCACTTCAAAGGACCTGATTTAAACGACTGTAATAAGTGATTATAGAGAGCATGACTCGTCTAAAAAATGTTTTGAAAATATTGTAAGCATTGTTATTCGTCTATAATTAGATATAAGAAATTATTCTTTAATCTTATATAAACTGCCACCGTACCTATTTTTGAACTTGATGGAAAAATGCTTTCATCAATTGATAGTTGAACGATATCTGCTTATGACTGGCTGACAGAAAGATTACTAATGAGGTGATTTTCTTCCAGCTAGAATATTAAATTGAACTTGATATATCGGATGGCCCAGATATAATGGGTGTTTTTTGTTTTCTGTTTTTCTCCATACAGTCTCAATCTTTTTTTAAATTTTTTTAACCAAAAGAATACGAAAGGAGAAAAATATGAAAACTTTGTGAATTTGGTATTTTTTTCGACTTGAACTTTTTTCTTCTGCTATTATTTCTGTAAAAAAGTGTGGCCAACGGGAGAACGCAATTCTTTTTGTACCTCTTTTGAATGTAATCTTTCTCGTGATCCGTAAAAAAATTTTTTTAGAGGAAATAGTGTGCGCTGGAGAACAAAGTTTCAAAAATACGTCAAAAATTGACAAAGTTATTATTTCTCCATAAGTTTTGATGTGAGAAAAGGTGAAGTGTAGCTAAAAGATAGAGCGAAATCCGGGCTACATAATGGCTGATTCAGGTTTTCTTACTTTCAAAACATTAACACAGAAAATCATTTTTAAGTTTAGAAAGTTTTCATGTTTCTCTTCTTTCGTATAATTTGTGTAGTTTTCTTGATTGAAGTCTTGAAATTAAAGTTTAGATATGGTTTTGTTCAGAATTTCACAGCACATCTTTTGGTTAAAAAAATTCAAAAAAGGTTGAGACTGTATGAAGAAGAACAGAAAACAACAAAATACTCATTATATTTGGGTCACCCGATACTTTTATTCAATTTAGAATTGACTGTAGCACTATCAATCAAACAAATGTTAGCACATTTAATACAAGCAATATTTGCTTGTAGTCATACAATATTTCGTTCAATCATTAATATTACATTATATTCACTATTATCTCGAATATTTTTAAATTGGTTTCGTTTTAATAGTTTTGTAACATTTTTGTGTACAGCATGGTGTATAACAAAAATTACTAAATATATTCGTCGTTTATGGTTAAATGCCCGATTACAAAATAAAAAGCCAACAGAAAAAATTCTTGTTAATGAATTAATATGGAAATCTGATGATAATAATGATAATGAAAATGATTTTAAAGATAATTGGAATAAATTAATTAAAGATGAATATGAACATTTTTTCTCTGGCGTCGTTCGTATCCCGTTTGAAAATGGATGGGTATGTATTGGTGTAATGGTAATTGTTAATTATTTAACAAACAATGCCGGTTTCTCTTATCTATCCGCATTATTTCGAACCGTTAGCTGTGTAGTATTGGTATGTTGTGGTAGTTCAATAAGATATCAGACATTAATTAATCGAGATAGACAAGAACAACAGTTACAACAACCAGTACAAGATAATGACACTACTACAAAATATTTAGTGCTTAGTAATAATGGTCCAGTGGCTGCTTATGAAATACAAACATGTAAATTGAATAATAAGTTTACAGTTGTTTTCTATTCGTGTCATTCAAAATACATAGATTATATTACAGATATTGGAATGTTTTCTATTAAAAACATTCTCAATTGTGTATCGACCTATTGTCATAAATACGGTTGTTCACAATGTCAGATTATATGGAGTCTTCCTATGTATAAAAATGAGTGGACACAGATATTACAAACCAATCGATTTAAACCTAAAACTGTATGGACAGAATTTTCCTATTTACCGTTGGTGGAATCAACTGTAACACAATATCAATATGAATTTATTTTAGAGGAGCATAATACTGAAATATCAAATACAGACGATACAGAAAACAAGGATGTTGTGACAGATCAAATTAATGAATCGTCTTCAAATATTTGTTGATATTTTACACTTTAACATTATGTTTTTTTTGTTGTTATTAAACAAATAATTTTCAAAAAAACCATTTTCTGAACTCAATCAGTGAATGAACGAAAGAAAGAAAGTTAGATAAGTCATAATATCGATGATATGTGTCACTGTATCAGTCGATTGAATCTAAAGAAATCTCAATATGTAATTAGTTATGAAAGGCGTTGAATACAAAGAGTATACAGACACTTTCGATGATCAACCTCGTCACATAAAACGCTATGACTCCTCTAGAAAACCAGGTTTTCAGAAACTCTAAAAAATAACCAAAACCTTTCGTAATGAAGCATGATTGTACACCGCAAATTTCTGATTAAAATGAGATATCTCCCAGCTCTACATGACCTTTCTTTGCAAAGTTATAGAATTTACACGAAAAGTCCTAAATTAATTTCTTCTTATTTCTGTAGCTTTGAGCTGATAATGAACAGCAAAAAGCGATTGCATACTTGGGAACCTTTCCTCGCAAGTCTTTGACTCTCTGCTGTGTGTATAAGATACAAAGTATATTTTGTATACTGCTCTTTATTTTACTTCTTGTTAGAGATGACTACAACTACTACTGAACCTTTTTCGGCAGGATTTTTAGGGCCATAAAGAGAGAGATAAGAGGAATAGAATATTTTGAAAAAACAATTTAAATTTTATAGAATTATTAAATATTTTATTCGATCGAACGGACAGCAATACTTGATATAATACAGCGAGTATTGCGAGCTAAAGACTTGCGGTTTTCGCCATTCGAAAGAGAAAATAAGGAAAAATAAAAATGTGAGATACATGCTGAAAAATTTGGTGATCAAAAGTACATTTATTCCTTCTAAACTGAACGGAAATTATAGAGAGCTCAACGCACTTGATTCAGTAATTTTTAACATGCCAATATTGTGGTTAAAAATGCTGATGAATACCGAGAAACATGTTTTTTTCTCATTCTAGAAGTTGAAATAGTATTTAGATCAAAGTGACAATGCTTTTTTGTCGTATATGTTGCTAAAACTTTATACTTTATAAAGGTAAGTTATCTCAGTAACAGGAAAATGCAACGGATATGCACTTCAAGAAAGACCTTATAATAATTACACATATTCAAATGTATTTCAAACTATTTGGTTTCGATACAAAGAGGTCCAAAGGAGAGCGGTTCTTGATTAGGAAAACAGCACTTAATACTGTGTAAGTGAGAATTGTTTTGAAGCAGTTTCACAGCATCCGTGACTGTTATCGAATTTTTTTGGCCTATATAGTTTTTATTCAGCTAGATGTTTTATAAATAACCACCGAAGTTCTGTATAAATCTGATATGACAAGATCATCTTACAATATCATAAACTAGCGAATTATTCTTTCATCTAGAAATTTAAAAGACTAAATATCGCACATCCATGGTACTAGAGGAATTTATCATCGTTATCACGTGATCTTCTTTTCTTTGCAGTATGCGTAGCTCGTCTTGATCGTAAATGATCAAATTGTTGTCCTTGATCATTCAGTGATGACGTAGTGGTTATTGATTGTTTATCATCATTATCAACTTGTTTTTTATTTTCATCATTGGAAGATGGTATATTATTCTTTTCATTTTCGTATCGTAACCGTAACGTTAAATTTGATGAGCCATTTTGTGTCGATGGTTTCGTCAATTTTTGCTGCTGATCTGACGGCAATCGTGGAATAACTTTGTTCGATCGACTAGATGTTACATGTATCTGTTCAAGATTCGGTTTTTCAGTTGTTTTGAAGTCAGCCGATATTTGTTTGGATTTTTTCATTGGTATAGTGTCCTTTTTTGCAGATAACGATCCAACTTTTCGATCATTTGTTTTGACGCCCAAATAGTCAAAAGCACTATAAGAAACAGAAAGAGAAATGCATATTATTTCATGAATGATTGAATAATTCAAACCTGCTTCTAGTTCTAGTTAAATTTTGATGGCATTTTTGGCCGTTTGTGAAGTATCCAGTATTCAATGGCCGAATTGTTGGTCGACCTGCACGAACATACAAATTGTATTTTGTCAAATCTCGAGGATCATTTAATCCTGAAAATAAATAAACAACCGGTGGATTAAACTATGATCTTAGCTGAAATAAATACTCACGAAATTTTCGGCTATGTTCAATATCTGAAAAGAAGGTTTGTGCATAAAATTATGTGTGCATAACAAAAATGGATTAATCTTAAAAAATAGATAGTGTGCAAATCTGTGTGAACTTCACAAACAACACCAGCTCACAAATTATATATTTTCTAATCTCCTTACCCATTTTGTAAAAAGGACGATCTACACATAACTCGTTTATTTATGTATAAACAAACAATCTTTGCTTAGAATAACGCTTAAATGTGTTACCTGCTTGAAGACGTGTTGATAGAACTTGAAGATACGAATTTTTATGAGATAATTTTGTTTCTGTCATATCATAAACGTGACATTTCTCCATTAAATACAATTGTTGACCGTGCGTTAAAGACGAATTATGATAAATTCCGCTTTTACGAATGCGACGACTTAATGGCTCAGAAATATGAGATTTTTGTAAGCCTAAAACAATTCAACATGATTATTTAATATAGTATGACTTTTGTGCTTTCATTCACTCTCATTATTAAACAACACAAATAGATGGTGAAATATACAGTGCTCCAAAAAAAGTACGTCATCCCTAGATTTCAAGACCGATGATAACTAATTACTTCAAATTTGGTGTGATCGTAGTTCTCACTAAATGCAATATAGATCTCTTTACTGAATGATTAGTAAGAGATAAAGGTTTGATTTCTTTTCAATAGCATGCTAATAACTCGTGTTCCAAGGAGAATGAAGAGCTTATTTTGTTATCCAAATGTAGTCACGACTCTCTTCTATCTACATGGTACGAATTTAAAGGCATTGGTTGTTATTAATTACTGAAGGATAGCTAATCAATGGTCAATTTGGGCTCATGTTCGAACAAAAGTCATGATTCAGTCTAGAAACACAAATCGGGCTCAACAAATTGGAGAAAATATTTGACTATATATACAAATTCTTTCCATGCAGTTGAAGATTGAATGTCTAAGAAATATACTGAAAAAGAGTCAACGCTAATGTAGCATACATAGGAGTACCAGCTTGAGGAACTAATGATCTCTATATCTATCATACAATCCTCTAAGAGATGTTTTTTCGCCATGGCTCTCCATAATTATATCTAAGCATAATTTGCGTAAAATTTATATCTGGTTAACCATCAGGTAAGAAAGTTCTATTTTGATGGGGTGATCAACATTTAATGAGAGCTATGAGGACACTAAATTTGAAATAATTAGCTATCGTCGGTCTTAACATTCAGGGATGATCTTCTTTTATAAAGTACTATCATTAACTGAATTTGATGAATGAAGAATAGTTGAAAAAGTCGTTAGATAGATTTAATGTGGACTTTCTGCTTTATTCGATTTTTATACCTATTTTTGGATGATTCATTTTATGTAAAAGAAAAACATAATATTGCCATAATGATTCGGAGAATGCGGGATCAAAATCTATATTTTTTCTTCTGTCACGTTGAACCGGTGCACTTCTACATCGTACCCTGGAACGAACTGGTTTGACACTGGATGGTCGTGTAGTTCCTGCTGTCTGAGGACCTTAAAAATCAAAGAAAATGTGTGTGATGTAATCCATAGACAATATTTAAAAAACGTTCTCATTTACGTTTAACAATACGAAACAGTAGATTCTCATTTAGTGATTAAACAACTGTTGCATCACTTACGTTTTCTTCTATTTTCGCCTGTCATTAGTAGTGTTTCATTATTTTCATCAATCTCATTAACCGATAAGCCTTTACAAGTCCAAGAGTGCCAATAGTTGGTTGGTGCTGAAATAAGAGACATAAATAGAAATGAAAATGATGGGATTATAACGACTTACGCTCGAAATGTCTTTCTGGATCCGGTATTATGCGTGGAGAGGAGACTTTGTGTCTGAAAGAGGAAAATGCACTAGTATATATCGTTGAGAACCGTTCTATTATTGACCATACCTTTTCTCTTTTGATTGATCTTTTATGTCTTTCTGATCAACGTATTCGTATAGATCATCAACAATGGGATTTAGTTCTTTGGCTTTCAGATGTCCACGAAGATGAGACTAAAAATAGATATTTGTTCAATGTTCATTGAAAAAGACGATAATTTCTTGTATTATCATGATGAAAGGAGAGAGAGCTATGAAAATAGTTTCAATTCATATAAAATTATAAAAAATATTCGTAAATAAACGTATCATGTTTCATTCGTTAAGAGGAGAAGAGATGACATAATGTCAGAAAGATTTTTTTATATAATTCATTGATAGAAATATCTTAAAATATACAAAGATTTTTTAGCATAATGTATCTTCCTTGCATTTTTGTTAATTTATAGATTTACTTATAAAGTACTAAATGACTGTTCAACTGTATAAACTATCCTTACCCATTTGAATCGATTGTTAAGTAATATAAGATTTGTACTAGAATTTTTTATATCATAGAAACCAGCAAACGGACTCGCGTGTGGCCAAGAATTTTGAGATGAATAACTTGCTCTAAATGGAGAATCAAAATAAAGGTGAACATTAAATTTTAAGCACTTTTCAAATTTGTTCTGGACAAATAGATGCTGGTAACGAAGAATTCTAAAATTCTAATCAAGATTCGTCTTTGTTAGATTTTATAAGTGTCAATCCATTTCTGTATGAAAAATGATAATTGAATGGTTCACAAGAAATCACACAGATCTTATTAAAAATGATACATTAATTGTCCATAAAATGCGTTGTTTTTATGAGAGACTGGAATTTTAGCCCAAGGAATTTTCGGCCCAGACTTTCTGTACAGGGCTCAAAGTCTTCGGCCCGGACCTAACTTTCCGTCGTACTTTCGGACCTGGTCCAAGTTCCATCCGCATCTTCGGTCCGGTGCCTACCTGTATTTCCATAACTAGTTGGCTTACTGCGTAGTGCTCAGCAGTACGCATTTAGATTAAAACGTAGTGCTCAGTAGTCTGCTTTGATCATTTTAGGAGTGCTACAGTCTTATGAGAGACTCATTGCTTGTCTAAACAAAGTGCCAACATAAAAAAGCATAGTACTCAGCAAGATACAAAATTATGCTCCTCTGATTAACTTCTCACTGATCGATGTTCTCTTCATGAATGCAATCTATGCATGTAATCTAAATTCATACTGCCTAGTACTATGCCGTCTTGCTGAGCACTAGGCTTTATTACGCTTTATCCCGACAGAGATTAGGAGGAAACTTAGGCCCGAGCCGAAAGTCCTGGAGTAATTTGAACTCGGGCCGAAAGTCATGAAAGACTTTGGGCCCCGGATCGAAAGATCATCGAACTTTGGGACCGGATCGCAGGTCTGGGCCGAAATTTATGTAACCCGTTTTTATGCAGCATTAAGATTTATAAGGAAAATAAGAATTTTTATTCTTTGATGGAGAAGGCATAAACAACATACACAAAGACGTATATTAAGTTGTTTTTAGTTGAGTTATTTGAGCCAAATAAAGAAGCTAACGATAATTTTGAAAATAATTCACTTAGATTCTATCATAAATAGATTTTTCAAAGAATTTTACCTGTTTAACTGCCAAACAAATTCAATCAGTGTGTCTTTGACACTTCTTATCTTGGATAAATTGGTTAGTATAAAATTTAACAAGATTTATTTTTCTCTCAAACTTTAAAAAAGAATATTGTTTATGTTTATTTACCATATAATTAAATTTTCGAATAAATATCTTACCTCGAAAAAAGCCTTAAATAATCTTCTTTAGATTTTTCAGGACCAATCAACCGTCCCAATTGACGAAATATCGTATCTGTTGACATAATCGTTATTCTTATTTCATTTTATTTTTACATTCATATTTTGATGTGATGTTTTTTTTTGGTCTGTACTTTTTTTTTTTTGATTGAGATATTTTTCAAGAGGAAATCAATCAATCAATTCACACGAATGGAATTAAAAACAACAGATCTCCATTTTCAAATGAGTAGATACAAGACAAATAAAAACAAGAGAATAATTGCTTTTTTTAAAAAAAGCAGCCACTTTCAATGTATATTGATGACAGATGTCTTTTTTGTACAAAAAAAAAAAAAGAAAAAAGAAAAGGTAAACGAGAGTGAAACTAAATATCCGCTTTTTTACCTATTTTCAAATTTTTCATATAAATGTTTGATTTTACATCAATGAAATAAAAGTTTTATATGAATATCTTCAAGAATTGCCTCTCTCTTTTGTTTCTCTTATACAAAAAGCATTTCTTTTTTTTCTTTTCTTTTTTAATAATTATATTTTTGTTTTCTTCCGTTCTTTCATTGATTGCACGTTTCAATTATCACTAAAAAACATTTTTCTAAGTTAAATTAACAAATTTTACTGTATAATGATAATATAATGAATAGTTTAATTTTAAGTAAAAACTGAGCGTTTGAGAAGAGTTGTAAATAAATTTAATAACGAAAAAAAAATGTTTATATAGAATGTAAAATTTTGTTTTGGATATACTAAGTCTTCTTATCTATAGGTGTTTCACACAAACGAAAAAAAATAAAAACTTTTGTTTAACATGCTTCAATTAGTTATTATTGTAAGACTTCAACATACAATGAAATGAAAGAAGTGGTATTTTGAGTAATAAATTTAATTTTTATAATGTTTTCTAATAAATTGCACATCGTTGCGTAGCAAGACTATTTATATTATAATATTCAAAATAAGTGACTATATTCTAGGTAAAATTTGTTGGTGATCGTGACATAACGTTAATTTTCCATTGTGATCTTTTATTAATTTCGTACGTTCGATTACGATATAGTAGAAATATTAACATTGTTAGAATGATAAAAAATAGAAACATTGCTGGAACAAATATGACTAAAAATAGACGAGCATCAAATACACCAGTAAACAAATGTATATTGGAGTTTTCGGAAGTTGACATCTTTTTCTAATTAATTGTATTGTACATTATATTATTTCAAATTCTCGTCAAAACTGAGTAAAAAACGTTTCATCAATCACATCATTGAATAAACCAACTAAATATGTCTATTTTTTTGAATATCGGATGACCTATAATCGTTTTATATGCATAACTATTCTAATAAAACAAAATCAAATATACTGAATGACATTAAGTTTTAACTAAACTTTAGTGAAGGCAGTACTACTATTTCTGGATCAAATACGCTAGCTTGCTCGTTGTTTTTTCACTTTCAACATCTCAATCGTATTACAAGACCAGAGCTGAAATCGGGCCGGTAGAGACCGGTTTTTCTCCGGATGAAACTTTTGAAACATCTGCTCTTTTTACCCTATTTTTCGTCAAAAAAAATAAAATTTCATATCTTTTTCAGTCAGAATAAATAAGACGATGTTCAAGACATATTATTTTCATCACTTGTTTTAAGGTTAAATGCTATAGACTCGTTGTTGTGAAGGTTCTCTCACATGCGCTCGCAAACTAATTCATTTCTGAAGAAAATTCTTTCTGGAAATCGATTTTTAAAAAACTTCGCTAGTTTTTCGCCGATATTTTACGGGTTTGAGTTACAATTCCAACCGGCCAGTTTATCGGCTGGATCAGTCCGGTTACACTTTTAGACCGATCGGATCGGTTCACCGTTTCTCAACCGGTTCCAACTCTGTACAAGGCTCAAGATCCTCACTCTTTCTTAAAAATGATGATGATTATTTTGCTAATGATATCAGTTTTGAGATAAGTTCATGATCGAGTAGTCCAGAGTATGCATACTTTCAGAATTTGTATCGGTTTTTGTCTTAAAAGTAATTTTCCTTAGTTTTAGAGCAAGTTTTCTATGAGCATCAAAAACAAGATCTTAAAATATTAATATTTATTATGAACCAAAAGTTTTTTAAACGTGAAAACGGAAAAATTTTCTCATCATATTATGATGTACTCAGCGTTCCACGCAATTTTTATTAAAATGTGACTTATGGTTATCGAAATAGATTTCTATCAATGTGGAAGGAGATATTAAACCCAGAATGAATCAGAACGGAATTGACAATAACAAACGGTATTGTTCAAGAAAAAAAGTTGTACACATTCTCTATGGTCGGTTGCTCAAAACAGAAGACATAAATCCTAGATGTTGTTTATCCGCAAAGAGATGAATAACTAACCTGTGTTTTACTCTGAGACGAGGTTCACTATCAGTTGATAAAATAATGTTGTCGATTTATTTACAGCAGACAGTTAATAGAACTGGAATTTTGTTGATAAAAAAAGCCAAAAAATAATTTTTCATCATATATATATGTGTGTGAATACAATATAAACTGATATATGTAATATAATTCCCTGTTTAAATAAAATCATTCATTTGAAGTCTTAGATACAGCACTCTTATAACTCTATTCAAACTACACGTATAAATATCAGTCGTGGTTATCTGACCACTTTTCTTTCTTTCTTTTTTTCTTTTTTTTTTTTTGTCATATAGAAAAGAAAGAAGTTATTGTCGACTGATATTCAGAATCATAATTTGAAAAGTAAGCAAACATTCGAAAGCCTGTTAATCTTACTATAAATAAAGGGAAGAGAATATAGGAGCGTCAAATAAAGTGATCCTTTAAATTAATCTAATATTCGTATTTAAAGTTTAAGATTCAAATTACATATTATATTGTGTTTAAGATGGTTAAACGTGTTCAACGAGAAAAAAGAAGCTTTCGCCTCTATCAACTTTAAAATTATAAGAATAATCATATAATATAAAATATGTGTAAAAAGAACGAAGAATGAGCGTGAAATACTAAAATATAAGTCGATAGTGAGACTTCAACTTTGTTTTAGTATTAAATAATTTCTCAGAAAAATATTCATCGGATGGAAACTACTACCTATTTAAAGAGGAAAAAAATCTAAATAGGCAAACTTAGAATGAAATGGTTGCTATACTTCTGTACCAAATTGACGAGTTAAAACTTCATTATCTATTTCTGTATAAGATGAAGATGTATTATTATTATTATTATTATTATTCACTGGTAGTGTACTGCTATGTCTCATAGAATGTTTAGATCTTGAAACTGGTTGTATATTGGTCGTTATCATCGAGGATAATGGACGTTTTTTACGAGGTAACGGAACGGTGATTGGCAAACGTCTATGCATTGTTGGCATTGATGTTGATTGTGATAGTTTCCCATTACTAATCATATTAAGCGAACTATTAGACATTGTTGATCCTTTTTTCTTGGAAAGTTTCATAATTTTTTTATTTATAGGCGTTATTGGTAATGTAAGTAATTCATTGAGAGCAGGATGATCTGGATTTAAGCCAGCTATTCTTGCTAATTGTCGCCGTTTACGATGTTCTATAACAATAACACAAACACGATATAATTGTAATAAAACAACAAGAAAATTTTTCGTTGTAAAAAATACATTTGATTGACTTATTATTTTATAATGAATTATCAGTCCAAGACGAAGACATAAAAACGGTCCATCTTGTAACAATATCGTTGTTGATAATGCCTAGAAAAAGAAGAAGAAAAATAAATGAGTATATTTCTAATGTCATTCTATATAGTTCTTGACCATACCCACAATTCAGTCTCCCAGAATAGTAGACATGTAAAACATTCATCGATAACTTTATCTGATGATTGAGAACTATCTCTTATTTTACGTGTTTTTGTTGATGTAACAACAAGTGTAAATTGTAAAAGACTAACAGACCATGCGGAAAGTATTAAATGAATAATTGTAAAATTTCTCTGTACACCAGTCTCTTTAAAAGCTTCAAATAATTCAATGATATCTGCTGCTGTTCCAATATAAACAAGAAGTAATTGTGATAATTGATCGCGTGTCATTGTTTTTCCAACAGGTAACAACCATCGACCAATTATTAATACTAACAATAATGTTTGTTCAACAATTTGTGTCCACATTTCAGCTGATATTTTCCATAGTACAATCTTAAATTAAACAAAAATTTGATATATTAGATATATAGAATTCAATAACTGTCGCACAGGAATGTTATCTTCATTATCTATTTGACTGATGACTTGTGTAACATTAAATTTTGATCGTCTTTCGGCTAAGTCAAGTTCAAGAAACCAAACACTTGGAATAACGGTACATAAATAAAAGAAGACAGACGGACAAAACCTAAAAACATCTTTCGTCATGGATTAAACCAAATCAAATTACGAAGATATTATTTACCATTTCCACTCATGTCCATTATTAACATAAAGGGTGACAAAAAACTCTGCAGGTATTCCAAATAGGCTAGAAGAAAGATGAAGCCAAAAAAAAGAAAATTGCCAAATTGTATTAAATAAAGTTGAATTATTACGTGATTGCTTGAAACCAATATTTGTTTTGGCGGTATACTAATGCTACACGCCAAATGGAAGCAATTCCATGTACAGCAAATAAGATACGAGCAGCAGCTGCTGCTGTAATCGCAAAAAATTCGGACATAACCCACTAAAAGAGGAAAACGTTTGTTAATTTATAAATATTCATTTGTTTATAGGTATTAGAAGGAAAATGTTCTCTTATCTAATGGGGAATGGTAGATAGTATAGAATAAACTGGAAGTAATATTATCCTACAGTTGCCAAATTAATTTAATTAAGTTGATTTGTGCCAGTCAATTATATTCAACGGTCAACCTTCTTTTTTTTCACTATTTTTGATCAATCAAAAACTTTCAATTTCATCAAAAAGAATAATAAAGTTTCCAATTTAATTTCACAATACAACGTCCATGCTATATGTTCATACACTCCCACTACCTTAGTAAAATCCCTACCAGTTCCTGACAGAATCCGAGACATAATCAACTAATATCCTAGTAAGATTTTGCTTTAATTTCTTAGAAATTAAAAATACCCGAAAGTCATACGACTTTCTACGATTCCGTCCGGATCCTAAACAAACTTAAGCGAAATCCTGGTAAGATCCTAACATTTTAGAATCCTGTTAGAAAGTTATTAGGCGGATTCTAAATGTTAGTATTCTGTAGGAAAGAGACAGGAAGTGCGTAGGATTCTGTCTAGGGTATCTACCTCTTTTTTTCTCACAACCGTCGGTTGATGCAAAATAATCAGATAATATATGAGAGACTTTTATCGGAAAACATGATCAAATAAGATATGTTAGAATTGTAATTTTCGATTCTCATTGCTTTTTTATCAGTCACCAGAGAGTGTTACTAGTATGTTTCAGATATTCATTCTAATTTGATTTATGAATAACGAAAATAAACTACAAGGATTTCTTATTTAAAAAATCTGTTTTACGACGTTATTATAGGACTGAGTCATTGATAAGTTGGATAGTATTAAAGACAATAGTTATGCAATATGCTCAATATGACATATTTTGTATGGTTTGAAGATAATGAAAACAAATATAAATACAAGGAAACAATTTCAATGTTCACCAGAATTTATTTATTCTCTTACGTCTATGGCCAGAACAATTTTCTTCATTCTAGAATAATTGTATCTTCGAAAGTATAAATGGTGCTTAATCAGCGGACAACTCCATAAAACATGTATAAATTGATTGACAATCGTGAGGTCAAGATGCTTTTTTAATGCAATTTTCAAATTAGTGTCGTCTAATTACTTCATAGATATTAATAATTATTTCCTATTCGATTACCCACCTTTCGTTTTCGAATAAGTAATGTTTTTTTATTATTAGCCATGCCATGGTTCTCTAAATGTTCGCTTAATTAAACAACATTTAGTTTAGTCTCTACTGAACCGTTAATATCTAAGTGTTTTCGAATTTTTTTCTGATAGTTTCTGGTGTATGCATAAGGACGTCGAACTTCTTTTTATTCAGCGCTTCGTATGATTATGACATGTTGGAAACTACTTAGATATTCTCTTTTACTTTTACATATAGAATCGAAGATTATATCGGTATGGCGAGAGAGAGAGAGAGAGAGAGAACAAGAATGTTGTCTTATTTATACTAAATATCATCAAACAACAAAAGAGAAATTTCTTTTTTATTAGAGTCATGCAACATATAATTTATAAATGATGTTCATCAAATGATAAACAACATATTATTAATCAACTATTTTTATTGCATATGTTGAAAAATGTTAATAAGTAAAAAATACGTAAATATGATCAGATTTTTGTCTATAACAACGAGATCTAAATGATATTGTTTTTGATCATATAAGAAATAGAATAGTTATAAACAAACTATCTCTTTGTTTTATTAAATAGTTACTTTAACCGATGTGAAATAACAACTATTTTTACTAAAACCATTTGACGATTAAGTTCATCAGGATAATAAGATAGTCTTAATATTGTTATATTTCATAGTGTTAGGAGTCAGTGATCGAGTCGACAATGTAATGTAATAAGTATCTGATTAACCAAATGTAATGTAATAAAACTTTTTTTTATTAAACAACAAACAGGAAAAGTACAGTCTCATTCTTAAATATCATTTTTTATTCTCAGTCAGAGTTAAATAGATTTCTACTTAAAATATAAAGATGACAGTTTTTATGCGTTTTTTGCAGTTATCTCTATGGTTTGTTTTCTTAAGAAAGAATGACAGTACACAAATGTTCTACTGTATGAGTAGATAGATCATCAAAAAGATTGTATCAGATAGACTAGTCATATATAACAAAAATAAACATAGGGACGAATTATGTAATAAAAAACATATTGTTAGAAAAAAAAAGTATAGTAATAGTCGTCTCATACTACATGGTAACAATTTAATATTGGAATTTGTTTGCTACATATGCATGTGTTTTTATGAAAAAAATGTTAACTCTCTTAATTTGATGAGTGCAGTGCGTCCAAGAAAATAGTACAAATCATCAATTAGAAGATTAATTAGAGTAATTTTAAAAGTATCATCTTTCGTTGAACGTTATCTGTTTGCAATATTTCGTCTGGTTTTGTTTAAGTTTCAGTTTTGAATAACTCTTATCTGTCATACACACAAAGCATTTAAAATGTATCATTCTATTTTAGAAAGGAAAATCTGAGGTTATAAAATAAATATTTTTTAGATGGTATTACTCTTATATTCAAATTATGAAACACTACATCGTATGGAATAAATCATCTATTTTCCAATGTTATGATTATTATTATCTTATATTATAGCATATTGACACATATATATTACAGTAGATCCAATTAATTTATTATAATTTTCCTACTACCAATAAAAAAGAAGAATTTCTTTGTTTGATGATGCATGTAAGATGGGAATAGTACAAGATTCACGACACATTGCAAACCTGATGTTTGATTATTTAAAATGTTATGCCAATGTCGCATTTTGAAAAATATTCGCCATCTTGTATCCTACAGTATTTACTTTCAGAATTGGTATTGCTTTATAAGCCACCGGTGTTTTCTGTATACTTTTACTAAAGTTTTGTAATAGACTCAACAAGTAGGCGTGATCAGGACTACTCTTGGTCTTGCCCAATGTCCTGCTCTTTCTTTTTTCCTATATGTAGATTTGTAGAACAGACTCTACTGTATCAAATAAGATGCGACGAAATACTGTTCGACTTCGCGTTAGATACTTCTAAGCATTTTCCTACAAGATCTAAAATGCACTAGTGGACGGACACACTGGATTTTCCCACTACATCAGTTTTGACATGACTGTCGATCAGTAAACTAGTACACTTTTGTCTACTAGTACAATCAGTTGCTTCTTTGTTTGAAAATCTCAACAAAACTGTACAAAATGACCAAGGCCGATTTTTCAATTTAGGTCTTGTTGTAGACAACATAGCTTCGAGCGCACTCACTCGAACTTTGAACATGAACCGCCTAGCAGAAGGCTACCGAGTGGAGATTGAGACATCTGTCTCAATCCTCTCATAGATTTAAGTGCTCATGTTAGTGTAAGACTTTGCTGTTAACAGCAATCACTAGATTTATGTATTTTAATCAATGTCTCATTGAGCATCTTGCGCCATCTGTAACTCCAGAGTGGTTATAGATGACTGAAGCCAATTTTAATGATGATCTGATTCACCGATGGACTTTACTCTCTGATGATTTAGATGAAATCGGTTGTAGAGTACAAAAAGAAAAAGATCTGTAGAGGGGGTACTTAAGAGATTAGTTGAGTACAGTAGAAAACATCCCCGTATAGAACAATCGAAAGAAGGTTATTTCGAAACTGCGCCTGAATTTCAATCAAGTATTATCCTACTATTATACGTCGACTCTTCTGTCTTCTGCTGTTTGTATCAGAATTAGATATAAGATTATTTAGAGTCGAAATGATTTTTCAATAGTCTAACAGCATATTTACACTTGTATCAATTGTAATTCTTCAGACAAAGTCAAGAAATAATTACCATGAGGCTAAGACTAATATGACTTCTTACAAAATCTTTTCAAAGTGTTGTACATGGACAATACACATTGAATTACTTGTGTATAAAGATGTTAACATGTGCTTGTCATCACACCTATGCTTATTGGCGTAAGGATAAGCATGTGATTAATATAATTAACTAAACGTTAGTGACATAATTCTTGTCGAAAGATATTCTAGTATACATAAATAACTTAAGAGCAATTGAACACGACAATATTTTCAAATTTAGATCATAGAAATTTTATAATGTTGAAATAACTATTTACTTACTGATGACTGAAGGGGAGGAACATAATGAGAAGATACTTTAGGATAAATCGGTTGTAACAGTGTTCCACGACGTAACCGCATTTCTTTTTATGCAAGATTATTAACATTCACTGACTAACATTTGTATTTAAAACTTATTTTTCACCAATATTGCCTGAGGTAGTCATATAAAAAAACACAGATATTTTATATACATAGCTCATCTAATTAGTTTTTCCATTATTCTTTTCATCTCTTTTTCTTACTGATAATTGTGTCTGTACTACTTATTTCACGAATATCGTACATAGATAGGAAGACAGATGCTTGAAAATAAAAGTTGATTTATGTCTGAGCATTAAATTAATATGGACATATGTACAATCTCATAAAGAAACATCTCGATTTGAAATCTAAGAAACACATTATCATCGTTTAGGAGACAAAAAGAGAAGCGGTACAAGTGTTATTTCCATTTATAATTCAAAGATATTGCAACACTATGGTAACATATCTAATGACCAATCAGTTGTATCTCATTTTGATTTAAATTTTCGTGCGAGATCTTTGAACGATGCTAGTATACGTTGATAAAAATTTAGTTTTATCTCTTTCTCTTGTGGATCATCCTTGTTATCCATTTCAAATTTATCTAGATTATCGAACTTTTCTAAATCGTTGAAGTTTAGGCTATTTTCATTTTTATGTGTCATAGTGGCACCAGCAGATTGTTTCTTTAATAGTGGATCTGGATTGATAACTTTTTTATTTAATATTGATTCATAAATTTTTATAACATTGTCATTCGAGTTAACAGAATTTACCTCTTGTTTGATATTTAATTGCTCCTGCCGAGGCAGATGTTTATACTCAAGTTTATGACGTGATTTCAATGTTTTTATCTTCATCTTGTGGTACGTCTTCTCTTCTCTTCGTTTTTTATCTTAAATGAACAAGTCAACTCGGTTTTATTTACTATATTGAGAAAATAGTGATGTATATTTTCGTCTCAGACTGTTTCATAGAGTATTCATATCGATACTAATGGTGCTTGTCCAATGGTAACACGAGGACAAATTTTCAACGTTAAAATTTATTTTCTTGAATGAGTAAAACCAAATGTTGCATTATTTTACTATCAATTGTGGTGCCAATTTTAGCTACTCGTAAGATCACTGAATGTGCTCAAAAAGCCTAACATGAATAAAAATGCGTTTTTCATCACAAAAATACATGCATAATTGTGTTTCTCCCTCAAAAAGAAATGAAAAATAGAAAGAAACGTGTTCTAAATTAGAAACAGGAAAAAAACGTATTCAATGGCCGTCGAGAAATTATTATTTTTCCAATGTAATTAAGTATCGGTAACAGTTTCCAATAGATAATTGTAGACTAACTGATAACTGTTGAATGGGAGAATCAAAATTTTAACCAAAGACCTTATTTTCTATCAACAGATTAAAGTTAAAATAATGTGATGATTTGAACGGTTGTCCAAATTTGATATGCTTTTAGAAACCTAGCATTATTTATACAAAATATAATGAGGCCACTTTCAAAACAAAGTGTCAATGCAAATCTGCGGCTAACTGAAAATAAAAATTTTCATGGACGAATAGTCATTGTGGTGAATGACTAAAATGACGACCAAATGAGGAAGTATCTTTTTCTAAAACTATACTATGAGCCTTGATGACAAAACACATCGTTTGTAACGCAACAAACTGTCTCTACAAAATAGAGTAGACGACTTTGCTGAATTACAGTATCGACCTTTATTCATATATGGGAAACCGTTAGCTGCACAAGCAGTACTAACCTTGATGATGAAACTGTTTTACATGTTCTTGTAGCAGATTTTTATCATGAGTTTGTTCTCCAATATTAACTTTAGGTCTTTCTTGAGTATTGTCGGTGCACCAATCTAAAACTGTTGGATCTTCTTCGATTTGAAGTGCCGAGGACAATGACTGATAATGTTTATCAGCTGTTGATGCTGTAAGCCGCTGATTTCTCTGTCCTACTGGCAGACATTGATCTTGATTATTGACTTTGCCCAATCGATGATCAAAATTAAACTTTGGCCAACATCTCGTTCATACAAAAGAAAAAATTCAAAACTCGATATTCTAAGTAAACGAGATAATATGACTGAAAATCTGTAAAAATAGTGGTTTCTTTCATAACTATGTTTTTCCATATGTTTTTCGTTATGTTGAAACTTTCTTTAGCACTTTCTAAATATTGCGTTACCTTTTCTTAGAACGACTCCTATTTCTCTCGAATCACTAACAATGTCATTTTCATCAACTTGATCATAAAACGTACATTTGTACAAATGAACTGTTCCGCAACATTGTTCGTAAGAAAATCCAGTACATCTTGGACAACCTTTCAACAAAGAAATCAAAAACATATTCTCGTAGGCATGCACTAGTCCAATCCGACTGGGGATTGGTAGGATTGGTACCAGTTGGGCTTGTTACCAGTTAAGCTTGGTACCAATTCCATCAATCTCCAGTTAAGATTGGTATCAGTTAGGCTTGATCGAATGTAGTAGATAAGAGCTTCATCGTACACCTAAGATGGAACCGTCATTGCACCATGCGCTTAGAGTAATTTTTTCGTGCTTCTTTTTTACTTCAAAAAAGATCACTATCTCAGAAGTTTGTTCTTATTTTTCTGTTGATGAGGTTTATTTTAGTCCACTAGCCGTAGTTTTAAAATTATTTAATTAATAGATCAGCTTCACTTCCACCATCGCCTATGAAAAATTTCTTGGCTTATTAGTTGGTGGCGTTAACCCGATGCTCATCATTTTACAGTCTTGCGGTATCGCCATCCACTATTAATTTGCCTTTGTTGATTTCGAAACTCTACTAAAGTAAACAATCGTCTAAACGTTGAACTTTTATGCCACTTTCAGATCTTAAAAGACCGTTGAGCGTTTTTATTTTGCTGACTGCTGTATTTGCACTCAAAGATTTTATATGTCACATAACTATATAAGACTAAGTCTCACATTTCGTATATTTTTTGAAACCCAAGCCTAACTGGTACCAATCCTCCAAGTCTAAGATTGGAACTGGTGCAAGCCTATATTCTCGCAGTCAGGAACAAGAAGAAGAATATGTCTTGTGGCGACCGTTATCGGTTTAGGGCGCTGCCGAATGATAGTTTCAATAGCCCCATATCTTCCCTGCAATTAACAAGCTCCGATATAGTTTCCATCTCGTTACTAGTCATCAACTATAGGTCCGGCCAAGAGACTAGTCTGATGCAGAGTTCTTTCGCCCGAGTAATTGAGCTCCTTATACGCATTCACTAACTGCGTACTAGTTATCAGGAAAGTGACGCGAACTGGACAGACGAACTGTATTGTACGTTACAGCGTAGTGAGTACGCTGTCAGACGGGTGATCCGAAATACTGAGACATAAGTAACTTGTTCAATATTATTACACGATACCGAGATTCAAACATAATGCCTTGAAGTGCGTGACACAACATAAGTACTAATCCATGCCGTTCCTCAGAATGAGACTTCCTGCAGTTTAATACTTACGATCACAGACTTGGCCGCATGATGCCATTCGTGTACGATAAATACTTTTCGTCTTTTGTTGATTAGTATTGATACGAAATCTAGCATAATGATATTGATTATACAATGGTGGGCATTTTTTTAATATATTTCGACACTTTTGACTGTTGCATAATTTAGTGCGATCGCATATTCCGCACCCTTTGCACATGGATGATCCACTTGTTTGAGATAATGCATCAATTTTTTCTTGAATTTTTTTTGCAAGGGCAGCAAACACTGCAGAAAAAATGAGAGTAAAAGGATATATTATTGTCACTATCTAACTTGGCTGACATTTACTATCAACTAACTTTTTGCTTTTTTCATCACTCCGTCCGATTTTTGGCATAATCGATCAGTTTGACCTTTATCAGCAGCACACCAAGACTGTAACTGTTTGCTTTGTACGGGATCACTATTTTCTGTAGAAATGATTTGTGCACGTATCACACCTAAAAAGGTCTGTGGTTCGATGGCTGAGTTCCTATCGAAAATGCTTACCAGATGGACGATGAACGACACTACGTTTTGATCTTTGTAATTTATGACGTTTTATCGGTACATTTGTTTCATCTAATAACATGTTGTAGATACTCATAAGCTTGACCTCTGCAGTCTTTATGAATAGAAGGAATAGGCTCTTAGACTGCGTGAATTTCATTGATAGGATCTGGTCAAATATAAACTGGTCTCATTTCCTGTTTGGACAACTACTGAGACAAGAGTGCTGTATAAAAATGTTAAGTGCTATCTACTGGAAAACTTCATCATACAGACAAACAGCCAGACGCGTCTATTTTCAGCTTGATAAAAAGAACATGCCTACACGCGCCTAGATATAATTTTTTTATTTCAACAGAAAAAAATCATCTAGATGCGTCTCTCGATCTCGAATGAACGAGTCTTTTTGAGAAAGCAGACGCCTTTTCAGAGCTTTGACGCAATCTGAACGAATAATTTTTAACTATTTACGCAACTTTTAACGCAACCGTTTCTAAAAAAGAATGATCATTTCATATTCACTTTTTAAAGAAGGGGTCGGGCGATTATTAATGACAGGATTGCTAACTATAACCGAGAACGACACAAAACTCTCTATACGAAACCTTTTCTGAACGGAAAAATATAGAGGATCTGTATTGAGTCCCTTCTGTACGGCACCTTAGAATAGTTTAGAAATGGTTGTAAAATTCAGGATGCGTCTGACACACTTTTTCTCTACTCGAGCTGAAAAAAGCACATTTCATTTTTCATTGCGTTAGGATGTCTTTTTTTTACAAAAAATAAAAATTTTGTACACGCAGTCGCGTCTTTAATGGCGTTTTGTAGGAGAAAAGCTTACTCGACGCACATTTTGTAGTTCAAACTTTGCTCTATCTAACAAAAACAAAACTGAAGTCTCGAGAATATTCGAAACATGGAGAAATAATGCTTGATTTTTTCTATAGACCTTCTGTCTTACCCATACTACTGAAAAAAGTTGAGAGTTTTCTCTTAGCAGACGTTCTCAAGTTTCAAAGAAAAGATTTTAGTATAAGACTCTTACCTACCTCTAAATATGAGATCATATCCATTTACGGAATTTTTTACTAGTTGTTTACGATTTAGTTTCATATCTATCCAATCGTAAGCCGTTAATTCCAACAGCAGAATTTCTATCTGTTCATTTAGTAATATTTGAACCTCACGTAACATAATCATATGATGGCTGAGATTCTGCAATGTTGGATTTGAAAATGAAATGTTATCGTCAAATATAATATTATGAGCGACGAGGTGTGATTTGTGGAACGAACTCTTGTATCTCCGAAGTACAGCCAATTCGCTGCTCGATTTATTTTGAGCTATCAAAACTTTCATTGGCTTGACCATAAGTGTTTTATCACCTTTACTTATCTTTGTCTCTGTTGCTTCTTTTTCATAATGTTTTGTTTTGAAAAAATTTAGAAAGATTTTATTATTCATTATTGGCAAAAATACAAAAGACCAATTGAGAACGATATTGAAAATGATGATCACAGGAATGAACAAATAGGTTGAAGTCAGCATCCATCAACGTTCAATGTGAAGACTTCGTCAATTTTAATTCCATTTATTACTGTTATAACAATTTAGAAATCAAAGATATGAAAATGGCGCTGATATGTCAATAGTTACTGGTGGATTAATAGACGAAGTATTAGTAAAAAAATATTGGCTTATAGCACACAGTAGTATTTTGAAAATTCAATGTTCGTTCTTTGGTAAAAAAAACTATAAGAACAACAAAGTCTCGAAATTTAATGTCGGAATTTCACTCTGGTAGCTGAGCTGTGTAGCCGTGCCGATGTATTACCTATATTATCCTTTTTAGACTACGGTTAATTACACATGAATGGGATTAACATATTTCCACTATTCAGGAAAAAACTTGTTTCATACACTCAAACGATATTTGCTTGAAAAAAAATGTCGGTATGAGATTATATCAATCAATTGTAATGTTACCTTTTCATCATGGATACGCCAATTATCTTATCTGCGTTTATCTCTAAATCTATTACTTTACCGTAGATCAATATGTGCTGGTAAGCGTTGCTATTTACGTTTGTTTAATCAAACTACAAATGATATTCAAGATTCGCAAAGAAAGTGTATGGGATCTGATCTATTAATGTGATCAAGCGTTGAATGCTGTTGATAACGATCAGATAGTGTATTGTAAAGATGCTTAGCTGATCCCGAATATATACAAGGCACATTTTGTAAAGTCGGTTTTGACGATGATGATGGTGGAAACGTTCGTCTTAATCCGACTACTTTATGTTCATCGATATACAATGAATTACTTTTAATAGCTAGATCATTTTCAATCGTTGCTTTTAAGCTCAATAAATATTGAAGAGTATTTTCTTCTTGACATTGTTGTTGTTTCAATTTATTCACTGTACATTGAAGATCATTTAATTCCCGTAATAATTTTGGATATTCTCTATCGTTGATATTTTCCGATACGGGACGCATTGATAACAATGACATACGCGTTTGAGTCACTTTAGTATAAGTTTCTTTATCCTGTATCGATTTTTTTAGAAATTTTATGGTTTTTCCCGTATTATATATTTCATGAAGAATACAATCAAAACGATCTTGTAGACGATTTCGAGCATCTTTAATTTCCTGAATACGTTGTTCGAGTGCTGAACCAACCTAGAACAACAAAAATCTATCTTAATGAAAGAACAAGTGAATGCATGAAAAATTAACCGTTTCCCATTGATTAAAAATATCTTGTTCCATTCTCAGTATATTTGTTTGTGTACGTAACAATTCATCCGACTGTATTATTTCACAACGGGCACGTTTGATATTTTCTTTTATTCGTTTGAGCCAGTCAAAATAGCATAGATCACCTCAAATTAATGGGAAAAAATATCGTGCATTTTCTCCGAAGAGTGACTGCTCACTTTTCACAGTATTATCAGTTCCCTGATAAAAATAGATTTGTGGTGAAGTATTAATCAAATTATGTGCCGCATTTTCTAATATCAACGCACGAAATTTATCGTTAGCATCCAATTCTAGTTCATCAAGTGTCGCCCGATTCATGGCGATTTGTACATCGAGTTTTTTAAACATTCCACTGTCAGCTGATTTTTGTGCATCAATTAAAATATCATGTAATTTCAATAGCTCTCGTTCCACATTATCATGAACTAAATCAATATTTTGTCTTTTTTCACGCTCATATAAATTTTCTTGTATAATTTTAATACGTGGTAGTAAGTCATCTAGACCACGTTCAATATCTGCACGTTTTAATATCAGTTCATTTATTTTATTTATTAATTTTTTACATAATTTTTTTAATTCATTTTTCCAAAAATTAACTTCTTGTATTACACTAGAAATATTAATAATAAGCTGTAAAGAAGAATAGTCAAACGATAGTCAGTTTACCATGATATCTCTTTTGTTGAATCAAATTGATCTTTCCACGCCTGTTCGTCATATTCTTGTGCTAAACGTTCACTTTCTTCTGCTAATTTTTTTGATACAATAAGTGTTTTATCCACTACTTCATATTGCAAACGTTCAAAATTATACCAATCTTTTGGCGTATATCGAGTATAAAGAGCATTTCTTGCCGCGGGAAACACCGGTGGAATTTGAAGGGAACTTAGATAGTTTAAATAACTGCACTGATAATAAGGATCAACAACGGATTTGTTTAAGGTCGTTTTGGGTTCGATCATTGCTGAATGATAATATGTGGATAAATTATTTTGATGACATGGCCTCGAAGTATATTTATCGTTACACACTCTTGACAAATCAAATGTGCTCAATGGAGTAAATAATCTTTGATCTACAGCAACTGAGGAATCATCTGTACATCGTAATGATGGTAAGGGTGAATAACAATTATTGTTATTATTAGTGATTGAATGTTGTACAAAACATCGTTGAATATCAGCATTTTTAGGAGTGAAAGTAGATTGACTTGATGGATTACAATCACTGGAAGATTTCAGACAACATATTGGGAAAGCTGATAAAGTGGACAAGGATGGCAGTTCGGGGTTAAGCATGATACACGATGTACACATGGATGATTTTGAACAAGAATTATTTGGCATATAAGATGTTCCCGTACACTCACTTGATCTTGGATGATTACGGTTAACGGCAGCATTTACTGGGTGAATTAACATTGTTTGTTCGCTCTGTATTGTTCGACTGGCAACATGAATGCTAATAATTATCGTCACAATATCGAGATTATTTGTCAGACACTCTTCTCATTTAAATTATTGTTTTATAACTTATATGAATTGGCGCATAACTGTTGGATATTACAGATTTAGTTTACTCTATTCAACGTATATTTATGTAAAGACTTATTTTACATATATAATTAAATTATAGTTATGTTAGCTTATTATCACGATGTGTATGTTGCCGCATTTTAGCGCTTAGCGGAGTCTTTTTGTTGTAGCCAGATTTTGTCCAATAGTCGTTTTTCTCATCAACTTATCGCGAGATCTTTGAATTTAATTTTCTTTGTTCAAAAGACGAATTTATTTGGAACTTACTAAGGATAAAATGAGCTATTTTAAATGATGTACAGAATACCACTGCACTGTGACGTCATTGTAGACGAGTGTTCAAACGTCGTACTACGATATAATTATGCTTCTCTAGTCGTCAAGTACATCCGATACCTTTTTCAAAAAATTCTAGAGTATACCTACGAGTTCGAGTGTTATTCGCATGATACTAGATTTCAAATGTTATTTATGCTCATCCATTATGAAATCTTAACTTTTGTACATAACATTTCTCTATAAATCAACAATGTGACTTTAAACCACTTTTTATCAATATAAAAGTGAATTTTGAAAGACGAAAATAAAATACTATTAGTGAGGTTGAGTTCTAAAAAAGTTTCCATTACATTGAGTTAGATGAAAAACTGCTTTGTTTCTATAAAAGTGTGTAATTTTGCACTTCAGAACGAGCTCGTATAACATTGACATAAAATAACTTATCGTTTTTCTCAACTAACATCAAACCGAAAAATTGAAATAACAAAAAAAGTTCGAGTCATATTTCAAAAATAGAAGATTTCGTGAAGGGAGGATGAAAGAATTCTGTAGATTCAATAGTGCTGAATAAAATCATCGAAATGTATTCATGTTATAAAGAGTGTCTACATCAACTGTTTTCGTACATTATACAAACTAGAGGGATTTATAAGACAACTGTCAAATCAAAATGTGAAACACTTCTCACACAAATCGTGAAAATATATCAATGCACCTCATAAAGAAAACAAAGTTAATAGAGAAAAAATACTGAAATTTATAGACTCATAAATAAATGAGTATAGCACATCTTTATTTGAAAATTAAATGCTGTATTCATTATGTCATTGTTTTACTCCAATTAACGGGATCATCCATTAAAATACTTCGATCAACATGCCATTGATATTTTTTATTCCAATTGTCATAATCCCATTTATTTTCCATTAACTACAAAAAAAGAAAATAGTATCTTATATAGAGAGATAACAGTTTTCTCAAAAGTTTATTTGTATAAATCACCTTTTTATTATTAATTGTAAAATCTAATAACATTTTTGATCTGTCAATATGTCTTTGTTTATCAGATTCTAAATCACGTCGATCTTGTTCCATTGCTATTAATGTTTCACGACTTTTTTCTATATGATGAGCTCTATCTGAAAGCATTTTCTGTTCCATTTGTTCTTTTAATGTTGATCGTATTCGTTTACTAAACAGTATAAACATTAAATATAAACTCATCAATAAATACAATGATCGATCTACTTACTTGTACATTTCTCTTTCGTCTATTTTAGAGTATGGATAAATTGTATATTCAATATGTTCTCTATTCCATTGTGCTTGTCTCATTTGTTGACTACGTTTATAATTTTGATAATGTCTATCTTCTGTTTCAAAATGACTATTCATTGCATAGGGATGATCGGGACGACTAGCAATAATTCGTTCGGGTGGTATATGATTGTCATACTGATGTCGTATATCTTCACGTTGAACTAAAGATCAATTAAAAATATAATCATTTTGAAATGTATAATTTATCAATTAACAAAAGTTTGATACTCACCAGGTTCCCATTGATAATCATAATCGTATGGTTCTCTTACCAATGGTTTCCAAGTGAAATGATATTCTTTAGCTCCTTCATTTTTTGGGAATCTATGACGTAGTGAATTGTGTCTAGCAACAATTTTTACTTTTGGAGTTTTAGCACGAGATGATGGTATTGAACTACGTATCTCTTTTTTCCGTGACTGACGTGATGATGTTTTTCGATCGATAATTGTAGGAGACTCGCTCAGTTTTGGTAATGATTGTGTTCGCGATAACCGAGGTGATTGAACCGAGCGAATCGGTGTTGCTTTAATATCTGGTAGAACGGTCATTGTCACAGTCTCAAGAGTATAACATGAAACTAACTAGAAACTAATAATTAGATATTATTAAAGAGAAAAGATGTTTAAATAACATTAATAATTGAAAAGCGTATCATTGTTCTATAGAAATGTGCCTGATTATATTAAACAATATTATACCTTTGTTAATTAATTATAAGCCATATGACTGACAAATGATCTCAAATAAAAAATTAACTTTTTTTTTGTTTGTTTGGTTACCGCACCTCACTTTTATTATTATTATTTTTATTAAAGTGTCTCAAAAAACATCGGAAATAAATTTTTATTTTTTCAATTCTCGAAGGTAGAAAAACAACGTATAGAAAAAAACACTTTTTTTTGCATATTTGTTTGCATGTACAATTATTGTCGTTTAAAAAAATGTTAGGGTTTCATTTACACCCTTGTGTCTAGTTGATCTTTCATAAATGTTTGTCTCGATTTTTTTTTTTTTTTTTTTTTTTTATAGAGAAACGATGAAAAGAAAAAGAATCCCTGTTTTTCGTACTAATTTCTACTAAAACGTGTAAAGAGGAAACAAAATTTTGAAAATATTTTATGGATGAAAATTTTTTAAAGCTTTCTGATAATGATATAGTGAACAAATTTAAATTATTATTCGTTTGATTGTCACTATAAAATTATGAAAGAAAACAGGAAATATCTAAGACTACTATTGAGTGCAATACCACAATGGTAAGTGTATTTTTTACTTATTATTGAATCCTTAGGATGAGTTTTATTTTTCAGTGACTGGATACACAAAAATTTTAACTGTACAAAACACATGACTTCTTATGTTCATCGTGCTCGCTTGCTGATCATAGATGAACTATACGAGAATCCATAATCATTACTCAATATCGCACTCGTCAACCTTTCCAACAATAATATGTCAGATGCCATTTCTAGGCGCTCTTAGAAACTACTTAACTTTACAGAAAAGAGAAAATTCAAATAGAAAACTGTTTAAAAAATCAATGTAGGAAATAGGAAACAATTTATGGATCAAGAAACATTTCTAAGAAGCTTAGAATATAAAGTACAAGTCTGCCTAGTGAGTCATGAGAAGAATTTGTAATTTTAATCTATAAAAATGCTTATAAATTCATTGAAAAATTTGAATATAATCAAGAAATTTATAACTTTGTATTCGTATGTATACTCAGATCTTTGTACTCGCTATTCTTATCCATCAGTCGCTTCATTCTTGCAATTATTTGCGATGAGAATATAAGAAAATATTTTCTTATTTAAATACTAAACATGGTATATTTAAGATTGCACATAAATTGTTATATTTCACTGAATAAACTGATTCTCAATGTAATAAAAACCAATTGATGTTTTATTTATTTCTAAAAAAGATGTATATCATCAAAAAAAAATGCTAGATTTTTATAAATCCTACAAGTAATTATTATCATAACCAAGTGATTGAATATTTCTAGTATTTTAGATATTATAAGATGATGTTGCATAAGAAAATATAGCTTAATAGAACCACACACACTTAGACAATATTTATCGTCCGCAAAGAACTAAATATTCGTTCGTATACACAATGTGAAAATTAAGAACGACAGTGAGAAAGACAAAAAAAAAAGAGACGTAATATAGTGTTATGAGAAAGAGAAAATGCAATCTGGAACTGTTGATCTTCATTCTGATGTTTAACTATAACTAATTAACCAGTCATCAATTTGTAAAATTCTAAAATAATAAATAAAAAATGACACATTTAGATATAGTTATTAACTTCTCTAGACATCGTTTAATAGGGTAAGATCAAGATAGCACTGATTATCTTCAAATCTCATTGACATTCATAAAAAATTCTCTTAAGATTATTTTGTTCTTACCTTCAAAATCAACCGTTCCACTTCCATCTTCATCAACTTCTGATATGATTTGATCTACTTCATCTTCTGCCATATCTGGATCAAGTGCTTTGAATATTAATTTCAAATCAGCCACCTAAAATTAGTTATACACATAATATTCAATTCAAATAAAAAATAGAATTTATTTACATCGATGACTCCACGACTATTTTTATCGAAAACACGAAATACTTCACGTAGTTCTCGTTCATCTTCTGCTTCTTTCGTTTTTTTAGCCATTAATGCCAAAAATTCATCAAAATCAACTGTTCCACTTCCTTAAAAACAACAACATAAAATTGAGATCACAATATATTTAATATCTCTCTTTCATCTTGATAGAACATACCATCTCCATCAACAGCTTCGATACATTCGGCTAGTTGATCAGGTTTTAAATTATGACCAAGATTTTTCATTACGGTTCCTAATAACGATGTTGATATTTCTCCTTTTTTCTCACGATCATACATATTAAATCCTTCACGAATTTCAGATATTTGTTCTTCAGAAAGTGCAAATTCTTGTTCTTCTTCACCCTTAAAAAATGAAAAAAAAGTTGATGTTTTGTTTTCATAGCATCACTGTTATTAGCATACAATCTTATTTTAACAAAAATTTGTATTGTGAATCTATATACAATACATATAGATAGTAATTACGATATACTATTACTGATTATAATCGACTAACTAACGTCTGGTTCTTGCTCTTTACACCACATGTTATATGCTATGTAATGGATGATTTATTCTTCTAATATAGAGTATCTATTAGAAGTATATAATACACTCACGGTTCAGTCTTTCAAAAGACAATTTTTGAAAATATGATTATATTTCGGGACATGAATTAAAAGACATAATAAATAGTGAGTTTAGATCGCTCATAATTGAACTATCTTTATATATTAACGAAAGACTAACTCGACAAAGAAAAGTGTATTGAAGCAATAAGAGAACAATTTTCTGCTAGAAAGTAATAACTCTCAATTTATTTCATTCTATTGACTTAAATCCAAATGACAGCAATGTGTCTAAGAAAGTGTACTTATATGGATAAAACTCAATTGTTAACTTCTCTTTTATAAGTAAGAGTGTATAATTTTCCAAATTTTTTTTATCTCGATTTTTGTTAGTATTTTTCATAAGCGTCATTTTATTTTTTGAGATAGAACAAATATAATTTCTAGTATCCTTTTTAAAATGAAAAAAAATAAATAAATAAAATTACTATTTGATAAATTCTTACGTACCATTATTGTAGATTATTTGGTCACTTCTTGATTGTCTGTGTAAAGTTATAATGCAACAAATAGAAGAACAACTTTCTTTTGTGTCGATTTATTTATTAGAAGCACAACTTAGAGAATAAAACACACAACAAGATACTGAAGAATAAAGAAAATATAGAAAGATATACGCGCAATAAGAAAATTACTATACAAATGTAAAATACATTTGCGGCATAGACAAAAATATTAGAACAGAATAGAATGTTCGGGAAAAAATATTGTCTAAACGGATATATTTTCTGTAAATGTTGGAACATATTATTACATCTTGGAAAACAACGAGAAATATCGTCGACGATATATTATTTATATGTTCTCGTCCATTCTTGATAAGGAAATCTATATAATATCTAATAGTATATATATATATATATAAATAGAAAAATGATATAATCCGACATAGAAAGAAAACAACTAGATTCTATGAGAATATTTATATTTTTTTCTGGTGATACATCTGTTATAAAACCATCCAAGAAAAAAAAAAGAAGAAACTGACAGGAAGTGGAGGATGGATAACACAAATAAACCATCGTCTCATAAATCGTCGATAGAAATAATTATTGAAGGACAGAGACGAAACAGACATGGAAAATACTTGTAATGAAAACTCCAACATACATCTGGAGCATTCTTTTTGTCTATAGTAAATACCAGAGATGGAATAGTTGAAAGGACAACAAATTCTGAGCGACAAACGACACCTTTCAGTTGTTCTCTGGATCATAAAGTTTATATTTCTTTATTGTCTCATTGCTGCTGATCGTTCGAATCTTTTCTTCTCTGTATGACTCAGAACTATTCCATAATAATTGTTTTTAGCGCTAGTATCTCCGTATTAATCAATATTTTCACCGGATTTCTATCGATGTGCTAATGTACACTTTATTTTAAAAAGCGCTGTTAAAATGATATTAGAATTAACGAAATTTGATTGAATTAATAGTGAACTGTGATTAATGGGACGATTAACTGGTACTTGGATTAACTATAGTATCTGAACATGTTTGCCCTGCATTTCTATAAGAGAACTCGATTCTTAATCAACTACTAATATAACTAAAGTTGGTTATACGCAGTGATAGACAGACGTATCATTTTTACATGTTTCATCTAGTGCATGTCCTTGAGAAGTTGCATTCTCAACACGTATTGTGCTTTACACTCTTACAGATTTTGTGAAAACTTCTTAGCACTTGTCCGGTTTCCGAAGGAAAAGGAAGTTTGAAGTATAAAGTTTATATACGAGGACTTTTGTGGTTTCCAGGTATTTTTTTGTCACTAGCTGTAAACATACATTTCAGTAGCTGTAAACTTTTGGGGTGAAATTCTGATCGATCTAATTTTAATATAAATTTGGTGTTTACAGCTACTGAATGGACTAGTAACAGACAGTGCATTATTGATCTGATGTTGTTAGACGCAAGCTTTAAAAAGTACTACCATATCTCTCCATATGATCCGAAAAAAAGCTATTAAATAAAAGTTTCTCTCACGCACTGTTATTCTTATTTAACTTCCTTCTATTTATACATCTTCTATGTTATAGTCCAACAGTTCAATAGGAATTTTTCACATTTTTGCTTCGTAGAAGCAACACTAACAAGCTTTTAGTTCTAAAACAATACTTTTTAACATATACCAGATAATATATAGGAACCGTTTTGCATAATTAACACCTCATCATAAAGGTATAATATTATTATTAAAATGCCTATCGCATTGTAATCTTTGAAATAGTACAAGTTTGAATTTTCTATTCAGTACTTGTGGAAACTATTTGAACTAGATTATTGATACTAGATCGATGACAATTTTATGTGACCCATGAAAATTCCACCGACAAGAGTTACTTTTTGCTTCTTTCAATCTCATATAAAAGATCCATTGATTAAACATCTAAATCTCAACTTTTTCACTTTGAAAATCCCTCTTTCAAAAATTAGCCAAATTGAATTTTTATCAAATTTATCAACACTAATGACTTTTACTAAAATAACTAATATTTATTTTTCTTGAAAACTACTTAACTGTTATTAGAGATTTATAGGCCAGTTAATAGCAGAATGTTTCGCCTACAAAATACACATTTCAGTTCGCATACGTTTTTTTTTAAAGCGAAATGGCAAGTACAATACGATAAAACTTGATTACTGGAACAACCGATATTATGACCGCAAAGCATACCAACATTTTTTTGCTTTTATTTGATCAATCTCATTTTCTACTATCGAATGGTAAATGAAACAAGATTTGAAAACATCGGCATTACTCCCAATTCGTGGTTCAAAATGTAGGAGTATCAAACGCTATAACTCTTAGTTCTAACTTTTTTATTCTGTTAGTTTCTGACGCAGTAAAATATGATATTTGCAGTCAATACAGCTCTGTATCAAAACATCTGCCTTTCTAATTATTGTAGACTTACCGTTAGATCTCAGCTTGGCTTTAATCTGAAATTTAATCAATTTTCTCGTGTTTTCAAGATTTTGAAAATAGCAAAGAATGAGAAAAAATTATCAATATCTACTTTTGTAGAACTCATGACATGCACCGGAAGTCCGTATGGAATCAGTTCAGACTGGGTTCACTCGAAATTTATTTTTCAGTCTATGTAGTAGAAAGCTAGAGTCCTTCAGTCCATCAGAAAAATTGTCCAGACGAAGCGTCTGGGCTCAAATTTTTTAAGACTTGTACTAGTTTTAGAGTAGCGATGTGCAAATCGACCCGAAGGTTGAGTACAGGTACGAAGTTATCGGATTTTTTTGAATTTTTACCCTAAGGAAACTGATGCCACGAATTCTATAGGTATGAATTCGATAAGGAAATCTATCACTGCTATGAAGATCATTGTTCGATAAAAGTCATTTATTTGCTAAGCGAACCAAAAAAATCTATTGTCGAAAAAAAAAGAATGCACTTGAATATTTCTTGACAGAAAAGTGGTAGAGGCTTGCGGTCTTCGCTAATTGGAGGCCAAGATCTGAGCACATCTTTTCATTACGAGCGTCATTTTGAAAATTTTCTTTCAAAGTAGGGTTTGCAGTGGATCTTTAGAAAATCATGTTATTACTCAAAAACTTATAATAAAAATAATTTGATTTTCTTCATGGGTAGGTGGTCTAAAGTGTCTTCTTCAAAATGAGAGTCAAGTGAGACCTTGATTTTCAGCAGTTCGGTTGTGGTATTGGTAATTGTACTATATCACGTTTCTACGCGTTAAAAAACAAACTGTTTTGTTACTATTTAGTGAACATAGGATGAGGCGTGCTATACTCATCCATATAAGCGAACACCGTGTATCTTAAGATGCGATCTACAATAATCTAATCTATTTTCTGAAAACCCTGTTTTTTCATCAGCTCTACAATCCAAAATGTAAAACTGCTCAGTTTTGCTTTTTACTTTTGCCAGTATATAGATTGAAATCTGCCTATCCTGAAATGTCTGTTGCATATATAAAGATAGAGAAGAGCAAACAGTAAATTTTGTTGCTGGCTGATCTTGGTTATACATCATAATTATAAAATAAAAAATAAAAACATTCTATTCACGTTGTAGTGCGAAGAAACCAGAAGGACTGGGTAACAAGAGAAGTTATATTTTGGATAACGAATGGCTCTGAATAATAAGGTCTTTTGCTTTCCATTTTCCAGGCACTGAAAGTAAGCCTGGACACCGTCTTAGAGAAAAAAAAGAAAGGATTTCCTAGTGTGCAAAACCTGATAGTTTTTAGAGTAAACATATTATTTTCTTACTGACTTCATGAATAGTAAAGTATTGTATGAGATTCTACTGCAATAGTGTGCACGACAAAAAAAGACAATAATAAACAGTAGGGTTCTACTCTCCTCACATCGTTTTTATTTAGTCTTATTTGTTCATTTTTACTTTCGCTGCATTTTGGTATAAAATAGGCACAATGGATGATCATTAGATTCACCAAACTCATGCTCGGGTTGTATAACTAGGTTATGTATCTAAAAAGATAAATCTATGTAAACATCTTTGGTTTTTCGCTGTTACCCATTGCTAAATTGTTTACATGACTTGTCTCACAAAAAGAGAAACTAAAAGAAAAGTGTACTAATCTATGTTATTCAAAAGTGCGTAGAAACCGGCTTTCTTAATTTTTTAACGACATGAAAAGTTATTTTTTTCGAACATGTCGTTTTTGCTACATATGTAATACTTATTAGTATTTAGACAAGGGTGGGACGGATCAGGTTTAATCGTGGTCCTGTTAAAAAACGTTTTGGCCCTGAGACCGGAACCGTTCGACTCATATCTAATAATGGCAAATAACGCTTGTGTTTATAAATACTATTACTTTACTCAACTGTGCGCAGTTGTCAATAGGTATTACATATATAGCAAAAACGTCCGTCACATTTTGGATACAGTGAAGCTCTATAGTAAAAACATGAATTCATAGTATCGACGTATCATACCAATACTACACAAACACACTTTCACATTTTCACAGTATCATAGTATGAGTTTCACAGTATCACAGTAATACTATGAATTTCATAGTACCACAGTATCAGAGTATCACTTTCATAGTTTCACAGTATCACCGCAATACTATGAATTTCATACTAATACTATGAATTTCAGAGTATCACATAGTAATATTGTGAATTTCATAGTATCACAGTATCATAGTATGACTTTCATACTTTCATACTGGATTCACCGAAGAAGAAGTAGTGCAATGTTGTCTTGTAACTCACTCTCATGCTGCCGCCCTCTGCTCCGACACCACAGGGTAGTCAGCTATGACAGCGTGACCTATTGAAGTGGTACTGTTACACTATGAATTTCATAGCATTACTGTGAAACTATAAAACTCATACTTTTTTAGACGTCGTTTTCGTGGTGAAAAACGCAAAATACTACGAGGGTCGAAAAACGCATCCTTCAGGTGAAACCGTGCTGTTCAGCCGCGTTTCTTGACAGAG